GTGTACTCATCCAGTTGGTTAACCTTATCCATTGAGGTAACACCGGAATCTAGCACTTAGATGAAGTGATGCTTTTGACGCCATCATGAAACCTCTCGCCCCCTCACACACCCCCACACCCCCATTCCTTAGCCCTTATTAACCCAATTCGCTATTTCCATGTCCATATGCTTTATTACGAGCAAAATTTGCGTACATTTGTTTGCTGGGGACAATAATACCACTAAACACGCAGCTACCAAACCGTTATTCCTAACCCTAACTAATGGGTAAAAAAATCAGACAGTTTCCCATTCCATGTAATTATAATGCTCTTCCTGGTGTGCGATAGACTCACCTCCACGTGGTGCACCCTGGGAAACGTATACTCATACGACAAAAAAGTATATAAACCGGTAGTTGACTTCTGACTTCAAACTACCATGACCCCACTGTATGTCATATTCGACTACTTCCGCAATACTCACCTCACCTTTCTTCTACCTTTTCTACCCTCGTCTTTGAAACACTCTTCTGTTCCCCCCCCCCCTCTCGACTTTCTTTCACTTCGATGTTCCTTCCCCTCTGTGAGGCCTGAAGTCAACTAAGGGGCTATTGATAGCCATCAAAACGCCTGCCATTTGATATAAATAAATAAAAAATGTTCTTCCTTGAAGTAATTATCCATGACACGCCCGTCTACCTATTAAATTAGCAATAGAACATACTCGATGCATCAAGTCATTTCTCCCATTACTTACGGGCACGGATAAAATTTCTGTCTGCATTACCCCTAGAGAGAGAGAGAGAAGGCAAATTAGCCAGCTCCCTATGTGTCACCTTTTAATTTCAAACATCTTCTCGACGTTAGGAGTACTAGTGCCTCTTTGAAATTAGAAAATCCCTGAAGAGCTGTGTTCAGAGCGTAGAATACCTCATCATAAAGCAAACTCGTAATAGATTCAAATGACGTACAGTATGAATTCATTGTTCCGGCATTCAACTCAACATTAATAAAAAGAACTGAACACTTTGCAAGCCCCATGCTCACAAGTTATTTTGCTAAAGTGAAGACAATGCTATGGGAAACAACTATTGCATGCATAGAAATTTTTCAAACAAAAACTACAAAATTATGCGTTCGATTCCCCACGATGGCTACAATAAGCTGAAAGAATTTCACCAGGCCTATTGAACCCCCTGTTACTACGTCTGTTAAGCTCTTATAACAGCAAAGCGTTGTAGCACACATGTTCATCCATGCTCCTCCCTTCCCCCCCCCATCCCCCCCAACCCCACCTCCCAATCCGGACAACATCCACCCAAACTTTCCCTGCAGGCGCTTTGTCCCCTCTATGCAAACCTAGGCTCATTTTCCGTTGACCTCTCGAGTTCGAATAGCTGATGTGCAGTTTGACCTTGAGCTCTGTTCAACCCACCCGATTTGGAAGACTTAGCTTGAAAACTCTAGTATTCATAGGTCGATATATATATATATATATATATATATATATACAAGAACAGATGAAAATATTTCTCTCAAAGAATTGCAAAGATCATAAAGGAGTCCCCGAACTTCTAATTTTCCAATTGAGAGTAAGATTTGGCGTTAAAATGTACGTCCACTTTCCTATAAAACTAATTTTGTAGTAATTTGTGCGTATCGAATTGTACGAAGTATTTGGGAAATGCGCAAATATATTAGGTAATATCAACACACACACACACAATGCGCCATTAAAGCGTTGAGCATACAAAAGGTTTAATGACTTGTGCAATTCAACTACTTACACGAATTACTGCCCATAATAAAATGTATTGTAAGTGAAACGAAATTATGACTATCTAAGGCATAACAATTCAATTAACTTCAAACCAAACTAAAAGAGGTTAACGCTACATATGGCTAACTCAAGTGGATTCCAGCCGTTCCTGCCACCACCACCACCACAAGGCTTAGCAGAATACGCAATTCTTAAGCTCGTCGAGAGAGAGAGAGAATTCTCAAGTAAACATTCCAGGCAGAAATGTAAAACACGAGTACTAGCCAGTCTCGCTGATCATTTCTCTCTCGTTGAACGTGAGCATCACACAGTCCAAGCAAAGGAAACCTTAAATATCACAGTCACCGCAATAATGTCTTCACTAGTTCCTACGTATTATCACTTACCAATCATGCGAGCATTGTAGGCAATAGGCCCCCCTCCAACAAGTCCACCATTTCCATTATGATACTGCAATTTCTGCTGTTGCTGGTGGCCCACATACTGCCCAAAGAGGTTCATAGACGCTGACCCTGAAGAACTCTGAGCCTGTTTCATATCACAAGAATTTAGAAACACTCCGGTACCTCCAGGTCCGTAGCTGATTATTCCACTGGCACCTTTGTGTTGTTGATGGAAGTATTGGCCGTTGTTGTTATTACTACCGCTTCCTCCGTTTGAGGGCATGGGCATGTAGCATCGAGGAGCAATGACTGGAGGTCGTACGGAGCTGGAACTGCTTCCACTGATTGCTATGGAGACTGGACGCTGATAGACGGTGTTTCCACCGCTGACAAAGGCAGTGGCTGCACTACTAGCACCTGATTGGTGTGGGGGTAAGGGTGGAGGGACTGTGACGCTAGATTGTCGATGGATGTAGGCCTGTTGTTGCTGATGGTGGTGGTGATGATGATGGGATGGTTTTTGTTGGGCAAATAGATGTGTTGAATGGCTGTTGGTGGGTTGTTGGAGATGAGGATGATTGAGATGGGATTGACTAGGCTTCGGTTGATTCTAAGTAAAAAAACAAAACCACTATTATTAACGATAGAAACGTACGTCACTAAACGAATTACGATGGAATGGAGTGTCCAAAGTAATATGTTTCCACAGAAATTAGTACACATTAAGAATAACTGAGAGAATCGAAGTATAGGCATCATCAAAACAAGGTGTTACTCAAGGAGGGTGGGGGGGGGGGGGGGGGGGGGGTGAGGGGAGCTTAATATCCTCACGGGGACTCATAAGTCAACCCATCCTCTGCATGCACTGCGATCATGTTGACTCATACCTAATTGCATCCCACATTCGTAGGTGACAATCGATGTGAAATTACACAACCACCACCATATCGTAACTCAATATTCACACTTATAAAACAATCTGGATTCCATTCACATCCACCCTCTCTTCCAATAGCGTATACTACACACATTTCTTCATTCCACGACACTTGTCCAAATTAACTCCCAAATATTAAAGAGCTTCATCCGTCTTGTAAGGAGATTTCAAAGTTTAGTTCAGTAAGACTACGGAAGTAGATCGATTGCTGAAATTAGAGCTATTTTGGATTTTCAACACGTGGAAATTGGCAAGTTGAGTAAAACAGCGACTAAATTTCCGGAAGACATCAACCAATAGAATCCAGTGCTAATCTTTGGTGAAGTTAATAATCGAAGTTACTCGAATTATGAATCTGACTGATTATGTTAAAATACTATTCATCAATAACATGATATTAATTTGGAATAAAATCGGTTTTGTAGAAAGTGAAACCTTTCATCTAATAGTTGTGGTTGCCAACACTAACTTTAGAAAGTGCCTACTATCCATCCTAGAATTGAGGGTTATTTCGATAAACAAGCATTCCAACCAATGAATAAAGGAGAAAATTAATAGAAAATAAACTCACACATTATCATTGCGTTATTGGGATAATTTATTAATTTAAATATCAAAATACGGGCTATCACCAACCTCAGTCGGCTGAGAAGCCCAAAAATTAAGGGCGAAATAAAACTTTCAGCATTTCGATGACATAAAATGAGTATTGAGTAATCAATTAGTCTACTAATGTAAACAAAGCATACTTCGATTAAGGTAGTGATTAAGCATTTGATGAAGCACCCGTGAACACCATTTAAGTGCTAACTAAATCTGACAAATCGAATTGCGCGCAAGAGGGTGATAATTACTTAACCGTTTCACTTACAACTGCAACAAAATCATCTGCGTCGCCTCTAAAAGAGAAGTAGTCGTTGACATTTTAACTCCAAGTACTCAACAAGAAGTCCCTAGATAAGGTCAACTCACATTGAATTCATTATACACCACCGGCATCGAGTTTCGATAGCTCACTCCACCACCACCACCGCCACCACCACCCCCATTGGTACTCCTATGGCCATGATGGGCAGTAGTTTTCGATACCGAGGGCAACTGAGGAGCAATTCCGGGATCTCGAAAGAGTCTCACTCCAGGGACTTCAAACACGCTGGTACAATCGGGGAGTTTCGCCAATGCTTCAAGAGGTAATCCAGTCCCTAGCCCTGAAGTAGTCGTGGTAGCCGTGCTAGTTAGAGGCTGGGAGAAGTACTCGTGTTTGAGGGCCTCGGTGGCCAAAATGCGATGGGAGCCGGGGTAAACAAGTAGGCTACTGAGAAGAGCTTGACCCGAGGGAGAAAATTGTGGGGAGAGGGGAAAACGGCCCAAAGGGGGGTGGGGTCCATAGGTCAGAGCTTTGCTAAATTGAGGGTGAGTGGTTACGCCAGGCCAAGAGGACTCTGTCGGTGTACCTGGAAGGAAGAGGGAGAGAGAGAGAAAGTAAGGAGAAAATCGTGAGAAAGATGCTACGCGTTAGAGGTCAGAACACTTGGAGCACTTTTAAGGTGGTGGCTGTGGTGGTGATGGTGGTCGTGTGTGTACCGTAAGCAAACGTGAACTTGCCCTCACTTGATTAAATGAAGCCCACTTTTTTTACACACCACTCTGCATTACATTGAATGCAAGTTAATTACCAAAAAAAACAAAGACCAAAGTTAACGAAATTTGCATACGCACATGTGATTTTCAAGTAATTATATAACCTTCAAGTTCTTAGACATGAAAAGACCATTGGACCCCCTAATTATCACTCCCTTCAAAGCACTAATTTCCCTCGGAATTTTCGCAAAAAATTGTGTGGTTTTTATTCTTACCAAGAGACAAAAAATGCATTCTATAATCGTGAAACAGCACATCAAACAGAGAACAGTAGTCACCTAATCAAAGATTAAAAGAATATCAAACAAGACTTACTTCCCCTGTATTAAGCAAACTGAATAAACACAAGTGAGTTTCAAGGTGATATTTCGTTTGAAGTCTGTGATTTTTTGAAATGCTAAATTTATAATTTGAAATAAAAGCTCAAGTATAAGATAATTACTTAACCAGATGTGTGGAGGCACTTGAATTCAACAAAATCTTGTCCTTTTAACGTGGACAAGTTGTTTTCTTCCTTGTTTATGTTGTACCGACAAAGCATCATCCATCACACACTGTACTATGGATTGGGTTGAATTTCCACGATCACACCTGAATATGCACCACCGCCTGTGAAGAAGTTGTCGCTATGACTTGTTGGCTAACCAGGCATCCAACCAATTATCACCCATTTCGAGCAAAATTGTTTTTATTCCAATAGGAAATGGTCATTTGAGCTCAAAGTCTACTCTTTCCCTCTTCCTTGTACGTCTGATTAGCTGTAGCGTTTAATAACTGGGAGATTAAATCAAAGTTTCCACTCCTCTTATTGCCCCCCTCCCCCCCCCTCCCGCCCGTTTGACAAATGAGCCAGAGGAGTTGTGAGTTCTGTTTGGCCGTGAATACGTGCAAGCACTCCCAACGCTAAATAGTAACTGCCTAATCTATCGAACCATCGCACGAAATTATTAATCACACACACACACACACTCTCTCCCCCTCCCCCCTCCCCGCTCCATTTCTCTGTACCTTCGCTTCCACTTACTTGGGAATAGATAAGATCAAACACCCTAAATGCGCGAACTTGGACAGCTTCTCCAATTTTTTTGTTTATTTTTTTTTAAAAATCCCCATTAGGGAGATTAGATTGATACATTGAAGTCGTGTAGGGCCCCACTATACGTCACTTCAAGGAACTTGGCGACATTAGCAGATAATTTGGTATTCCAAATTGTCCACATATAACATATTTCATAAAACAGGATTAGTTGCCAAAGTTTTCGTTTCAAGGCCGGACAGTATATATATATATATATATATATATATATGACAAACAAACGGAAGTTTAATAACTGACGTAAATGGAAAAGGTTCATTGATCTAAAGAACGGTATCATATAGATCACTGAATGTGTGCCTGTACATTTCCAGCATGTGATTTTAGAAGATTGAATTAAAAAAAAGGAATTTAGCAACGTATATTAACGATAGAACCAATTACAGATGTCTGTCATCTAAAATCAATAAAATAATAGATATCGATCGAATCGACTTGTTATCCTGATTTGCAGTATCTGCACCCAAATATGAACAATGCTATCTATATTGTGACCGAAGTGAATTCGCATACGCATAAACAATATCTCAGATAAATGCGCAATTCGGAACGAATGGTCCAATTCCAAAAATAGTTCGCTCATAAAGTGGAGGAAAGATCTTAATTGTCATGTGTGTGTGTGTGTGTATGTGCTGTACTTAGAGCAATTTGAAATGAATCTAGTGACTCTGAGAAGATTTGGCGTCTCCGGCTTCGGCCCAGCTGTTAGCCTTATAAGACGCCAGCTTGTTTTAACTTAATGCCACGGGATGGATGTACTTTCAGTCAGTACTCATTCGCACCTTAGCCTCCACCCCCCCCCCCCCCCCCCCCCCCCCTCCTCCTCCTCCTTGGCCAGCCGAAAGTACGTGAAACAGACATATCAACAACACATGGACCAACGAGGGGAGGGGTCGGGAAAAAGGCATTATTCACAAGTTTGATAGCATTTCGATTCACAAGCGGCTGAAATGCTTTAAAAATTCAGCCAACTCTTTCTGTTCCATCGGGTAACAGGGAAAGTACTGAATGAGTCTGCAGCATTGGATAGTTTAAAGGAGAACAACACTTCATTGATAAGAGGATGTTAATGGTCCGACGTCACTGTTTACAAAACTTCAAGCTTTCTAATTGCGTATTTACTAACATACGTAATCACTAAACAGCGTGTGATAAATGAAAAAGTACCATTTCTCTCACATGCATTATAAATTACACAATAGTGACAAGTCAGGGCAATTTGTCATTTAACACGAAGCCCCTGCGGTGGCGTCGGCGAAAACCCGAATTTCACCATTCAAGGGGGTCTTCGCCAATCGTCTTAACCCACTCTCGGTTGGACACCCTACTAGTTGAGTATGAATGGAAACTGAGACCCCTGATTCCAGGGGTTCAAGCGCACCTCTATGAGGAAAAGCCCTAAGAATTTAACGGAATAACCTGCAACACTGACTCAAAGGAAATCTGTACAATGATTTCAGATTCAAAACTTCAATTTTGCCATCTTATTCCACCTATCTAACGTACCATGGAGAGAAATAAATCTGACTGTTTAGATTGCAAACAAAATATGTCACTGATAATTTCAATCAACGCGAAAATAACATGTCCACCCGGCCACCATATTTTTTCCCAAATTTGGCATAAAGGGAGTTGTGGCTCTTCTTGATAATCTATCCATCGGAGCGCTTCTCAAGCGGATCTGTGTGGATTGTTGTCACCCAGTTCATGGCTTTGTATAACAAAAAAAGAATGAAATAAGTGCAATGGAAACACAAAAACCCACCTAGCCGTTTGAAGATGAGAGTGAGCTCTTCTTCCACAGTGGAGCCAGGGAAAAGAGGCCAACCAGTTGCCATTTCAAAGAAGATACACCCAACGCCCCACATATCGATGTGCGTTGAGTACTCCGTTGAACCCAGCAACACGTCTGGCGGTCGGTACCTGAAGCGAAACGAAAAGCATGAGTTAGGCAACAAGTGGCAAAGGATAATTTCCTACCATAATACAGAAGAGGTGAGTGATGTTCGATTGAGATTCATGAACAACCCATCTATTGGTGATTCATCCACAGTGACATGATCACTGACAGTAGCTGCCAATCAGTCAGTTTTCCAAATGGAGTGACTGGACACGCTATTCTAGACCATCGTATTCATTTAAAAAATCTAATTTCCCCTCTCCACGAAGCCAATGGGACTACGTTCAATTCAGTTTCACTCAAGTCATTTGTGAAATCAATCTACGCCCAAGAAAATTAGTCTTCTCAGCCAATCATCTCATTGGATTAATTCTTGCTCCATTTCTTCCTCACTTATAGAGACCATAAGACTTCCAAATTGAAGTTTACTTGGGACACATCTTTGCAATACTCTTCACATCATCACACTCAGCGACAGTTTTTACTTTACTGTGGAATGTGAATTAATCGGGCAAAATAAAATCCACCAGTGAATGCACAATTTAATCAGGTCGCGCGCGCACGCGCGCACTTAGTGATATATCATTAATTCAATCCCTCATGCAGAGACGCTACTTTAAGGTGTAATAAAGTATTCCCGAAATTTAATGAAGCATCAAGTGACCTTGGCAAAATTGTAAAAGTGCACAGTGAAGAAGACGAGGAAGAAGAAGAGGAAGAAGGGTGAAAATAGTGGCATACAGATGTGTTCCTATTCCGGCTTATCTTTGGGACATGGGAATTCATCCCCCCCCTTCTCCCCCCCTCCCCCCCCACAACCAGAAAATCTTATGCTACTACTATGTGTCCCCCCCCCCCCCCAACAATTTGTTGTGAAGATTTATGGGGTATTTTTAAAATGACATTTTACCTCTTAGTGATGTTGTAGACCTTGGAATTTTGTTCTACATCATTCGCCCATTTGATGAAATCTTTAAGGGAGCAGTTAAAATTGCAAATTAACTTTTCGATTGTCAATGTCGATGGTGCCAGAATCTAATCTCGAAAGATTGAATGATTTCAGATTCTGCGTTGTGATCATTTTTTTAAAGACAAAGGCCCAATTCAATGTATTTTCGTTCATGAAAAGTGTAATCTAGTGGGAACGAACTTAATAGTCTCAAAGCCTAAGCGCCAACGACGTAGAATCTTCCAGAATTTCTCAAGTCATTAATATTAAATAATTGCGTTACTGAATGAAAGCAATAATGAAAATCATGCGTATCTCCGAAACGTACTTTGGTATAAACATCATTTACAACTCCCCAAGTGTTCTTCATTTAGGGCAAAAGGTTAATAAGACCGAGGCTCCGTGGGAAAAAAAGTTGCGTTCTAACATTCCCTTATGAGACAGACTAAGCCAATGCGATTGGCCGCTCCATTCATTGGGTACACACTGATAAGAGTGAATATCTTCCCTTGAACTAACTGCGGAACGAAAAAGGCTACTGAAATGTATAATAAGTAGGTTAACTGTGATAAAATGCTGAAACTATAATCCCTTAACCGAGATTATTCCCACTATTTTTAAAGTATGGAAACGGAGGGGATTGTGCTTATAAGGTGCTAAAATACACTACTAAATTGACTACTTAGAACCAAATTTCATGATATCAGAGTATTAATCGAAATGTGAATAGAATATCCGTTTACTTTGAGCCAGTGAAGGTAATTTAACGGAATAAATTGTTCCAATCGCATTCAGGCTGACAGAGTGGCAAACGAATATGATTATACTGTATTTTTAGAATTTTTCGATTTGACAGACTTGAAAGCTTTTCACGCATGTTAGAATTTCTGAGTTGGCTGAGTCGACTTTACACTAGAGAGTAATTAATTACTCAAACGTTTGGATCAGTTAAAGCAACCAAAAATCAGTATCAGAATCGCCATTTTCACCTGGTTAGTATACTTCAAGTGAAAATACCCAAAGAGGGATCATCTCTTTCTTCAAATTACCCCCAGTCCTACTCTTTCTTCTATGATTCCACAATTTGCGATGATTTTAACCCCTCACCACCCCCCACTCTGGTTCAGAAGGCACAGTGGCGATATGTTCGCAAAAACAAACATTCAACCTTCAAAAAACCCAACCACAAGATGCCCGCTTGTATGCGGGTCACAAGTTTAGCAAGCACACACACACGCGCGCGCCCACATGGCCGCACATAAATCGATCAATAATTGCAAATGCGTGTTACTACAGCTGGCTAATGGGTTACATACTGAGGGTAGCACCCGCGCACCATGCACCCAAACACTCGGCTTGCACAAACAGAAGGTGATGATCGCGATCGTTAAAGGCAACATGATCTTAAGGCAGCCAAAGGAGTTTGGACCTCAAATAACCTTTAAAATGCGGAAAGATCATATTTAAAAGAACATACCACGAAGGGTTATTTGAATGGCAGAGCCTTGATTTGCCCACCCCCTTCCCCCCCTCCAAATGTTAATATTTATTTATTTATAACAAATGGCAGGCGTTTTGATAGTTATCATTAGCCCTTTAGTTAACTTCGGGCTTTGCAGAGGGGAGGAGGAACATCAAAGTGAGAAGAATTCGGGAGGGAGAATAGAAGAGTGATTCACAGATGTAAAAGAAACAGACAGACACAAAGGCTCAGAAAGGGTAAGATGAGTACTCTGATAGGGGTCGAATAAGACATACAGTGGGGGTGATGGTAGTTTGAAGTGAGAAGTCAACTGCCGGTTAATAGACTTTTTTGCCGTATGATTATA